ATGTGTTGAATATCTCATTAAAATCTCATAACCATAGCAACACATAAAAACCTTATTTACATTTGATGATATATTTTATACAAATATACAAACCATTAACTTGTAGAAAGATGAATGTAATATACATACTGTGTTAAATTTGTTAATTCCTGTGATGTGAATATATAAAACCATTTTCAGAGACTTTGTCTCTGTCTTAATTATAGCAGCTATATAAATTTGTCATTTTCTGACTCACAGAAATGTACCTCTCGCGAAATTGAAGCAAATTCCAGTAGTATGGGTTGCTGCAGTATGACTGCTTTATACTGCAAGCTTGAGCCACACTGCAATACTTAACTACAGAGCTGCAGGCACAAGCTTGCAACATTCTCAAAACTTAAGTACAGAGCTGCAGACACGCGGCAATACTTAACTACAGAGCTGCAGACACGCGGCAATACTTAACTACAGAGCTGCAGGCACAAGCTTGCGACACTCTCGAAACTTAAAGAGCGGTAGTCGTCACGCCGCGTCCTGTTCAATATGGGACTTATAGCGACGAATACAACACATGTAAAATACATTGTTTATTCACATGAAATTCGAACACGCGCTGCACGACGACCACCGCGCTTTAAGTACAGAGCTGCAGACACACTGCAATACTTAACTACAGAGCTGCAGGCACAAGCTTGCGACACTCTCAAAATTTAACTATATACAGAGCTGCAGACACACTGCAATACTTAACTACAGAGCTGCTGGCACAAGCTTAGACACTAGCAAAAATTGTTGAGAACACTAATTAGATGTGCATAGTATTGCTAGAAATGTAAGCATGTTTTGCGATTTTCTTATCTCAAAAATCGCACAACTTTGTATTTAGATCTTCATCAAATGCTATACAAATTGCATATCCTTATCTCATAGATTCTTTAATAGCAAACCTAATAACTACAGTACAGTCTGGGCATAACTTGACTTTTCAGCCGGCTATCAGTTAGATATACCTTTTTATAAAAAATAAATTAATTTTAGATATACCTAACTTTTTTTTTTAAACACAGTATCATTGTTATCAATAATCAAATTATTCTTTTACTGTATTTACTATGTTTCTACGATAATTTACTCTTTAGATATGTGGTAGTTTAGAAAGCAAGCTATTAAAGTTAGTGTAATCCAGATTAAAGCAAGCTAAATGTTAAGTTATGCTTGGACTGTACTGTATATTTATAATTTATCATAGCTTACATTCCATGCCTAGGCATCTAAGACCTCTACAATAAATGCCTAGCATGGATGGTTAGCTGAGATATATCTCCATGCAAGTATATTCAAATATCAAGTACTATTAAAGGGACAATCCAATCTGAACCATAGAAAGCAAAATGTTCATAGACCATGCAGCAAAGGATGGTTCACTCAATCATGTGATCGTAAAATCATTGACAGTATACTAGGAGGTTATTACGAGGATACAGTATGCACGAAGACAGTACAGTGGGAGTATCGACCAACACGCAGCGTACTGTCTGAGCGCATACTTTGAGGTATCCTTGTAATAACCTTATTATTATACATCTTTTCCATCCAAGGGTACATCATGGGAATGCCAAAATCCAGAATCAGTAAACTTCTTTGTAAGGAGTCCGGTCAAACCCTGGCGGCAGCCATGTTTTTTTTTATTATTAGAGGACGCCTACGCACGTAATCATTCCTTATTTGGAATTGACATTTTCTAATATGGTAGGATGAAAATACCCCGTAAAAGACCGCAATATTACAGCATGCTGTAACTTATGCTTTAGGGTGACAGATGTATAATAATAATGTATACAATGAGATCTTTTTCAATCAAGCAATCACACGTACAGTGAATAATCAATGTGAAGCATTTATTGTAGAAGTCTTGAAGAGATTCTAAGTAAAATGTACCACTGCATCCATGTAATATAACTATTAAAGAGGTCACCTTGACTAGAAGTACCCAACCAAGGGGGTCACTGTGTACATGTACGAGTAACCAATTTGAATTTGATTACCATAGTACTACAGGATGACTGAGAAATGTACATGTAACTAAGAGGTCACCTTGAATAAACAATACCCAACTAGTTCTTTGCACACATGCACATCATAAACCAAGACAATTGTATTGAATAATATTTCAAAATGAGTGGTTCTGATTGTGACCACACAACAAAGTTATGAAATATAAAATGTGGCTAAAAGAAGACACTAAAATGGGACTATAACTCATCAAGCACAAAACTCAGTTTTGAAGATGCTAGAATTCCAGTGATAATGAATGCCAAATATCAATCACTGGATGTAGATGACATTTCACAGGAAATCGCATACAATTACAAATATACTGCATATTTCCCATGAATCCTCAAATCTCACAATACATCAGTTGGTGATATAACTCCCATGTCTTCACAATTTTCTTGAGAAATGCATTTGAGGCAAAGCATCTATTCTCGGGGGCGGACATCCAGGTATTTTCACCACCTGGCAACCATCACGGTGAAAACAAAGGCCGAAAACATTACTTCGGGATGGTTATTGAGACTCCCCTGAACAGTGGAACAAGATTACCCCTGCATGTCTAATATACATAAATTTGGTTTTCAAAGATTACTTCAAAGTTGATTTTATGCCATTTTGTCAAACTTAGCTACTGTCACTGACTCCCAGAC